CCGCGACTACACTCTTAGAATTGAATGTGTAGGTTGATTGCTTGACTTGTGGTAAATTGCTAAAATCTGCCAAGACTTAAAATTGGGAAAAGGTTAGATTTTTATTTGGTCAAGTAGTCAAATCACCCCCACCTCTAGACCTACTTTCAATCCTACACACGGGAAAACTAATTTTGAGGCCCTCGCACCTTTAAATACAAGATGAACCACTTTAGTCTCTTGAACGTATTCAATGAGACATTTGTGGTCCCATCCAACCATTATCTGGACCTTTTAGGTACTTCATGGTTCTCCTTGACGCATCTACATGATGGTCACATGTGTGTCTTCTATCCACACGGAACCATGCATTTTCCAAAATAATGAGGCAAGTCATTAAGTTGCAAGCCCATTATCCAGAAAGTCGAATTAAGTCAATTCGAATGGGCATGATTATTGCATGGCTTTGGGGATTGAAGTTCAACACTCTGTTCCATATGTCCATACACAAAATGGTTTGGCTGAATCATTGATTAAGAGGATCAAACTCATTGCAAGACCTTCGTTGATGAATTGCAACTTGCCACACTGTTTTACACGCCACTGACTTGATACAATTGAGGCCAACTGCATATCATAGTACTTCCTCTCTGCAATTGGTACGTGGAAATCTTCCTAGCATTTCCCATATGCGTAATTTCGGATGTGCTCCATACATCCCGATCTCACCACCACAGCAGACATCTATGGACCCACACATGAAATTGGGGATCTATGTGGGGTACAAATCACCGTTGATTCTCAAGTGCGTGGAACCCCTTACTGGGGATCTGTTCACAACCTGTCACGCTGATTGCATATTTTATGAGGAGCATTTTCTGACATTAGGGGATATTTCAAGTACCAGAAAGAATGCCTGGAACTTGATTGGAATGCTCAAGCCATTTCATCCTCTGATCCACATACCCAAGAGACTAAACTCCAAGTTTGGAAAATCATAAATTTGCAACATCTTGCAAATAATCTGCCAGATTTATTTACTGATCTGAAAGCTGTTACTATATCCTGAAATTTGGCCAGAAATGCGCCCGAAAGAGTGGATGTATCAATAAAAACCACTCAACTCCCTATTTGTAAAATGAGGGGGAGTAGCACGACCTCTGATCTAGAGCAAGCTTCTAGCAAGCAGCAACGGAAATCAAGGAGAAAAACCTCGAAGTCAGTAAATGCAAGTCAACTCAACGTTGTCAAACACCTCATGGGTTGTATACACCCAGTGGAAGGGCAACCTCCACAACCCAGTTTTAGTTTGCGCACACTAGCTGGGACATTGGAATACACATACTCAAACGTATTGGGAAATCACGAAGAGTCACCAAGGGTGCAGGAAATTTCCATCAACTATGTTGATTTTGGAGAATCATTTGACCGTAAGACTATGATGTCAACATATATTTTGCTAAAATATTGCAGATACCCTTCTCACTGATCATGATCAAGGACTATCGTTGAGTGCCAAAAGCGCTCTGATTGGCCTAAATGGAAGGATGCAATCCAAGATGAAATTGCCTCGCTTAACAAAAGAAAGGTATTCACTGAAGCAATACCGACACCTCCCAGTGTTTTCTCTGTGGGATTCAAATGGGGTTTTCTCCGAAAAAGGAATGAGAACAATGAGGTGGTGAGATATAAAGTGAGGCTCGTAGCACAAGGTTTCACGCAGAAACCCGGCATTGATTTCAATGAGACATATTCTCCAGTAATGAGTGGAACCACTTTCCGATATCTTATATCTTGGCCAGTGCAAAATCGTCTATCTATGCAGTTGATGGACGTCGTGACCACATATCTTTACGAGTCACTAGATTCAGACATATGTATGAAGGTTCCTGATGGAATCTCTTGTCCTGAATAAAAGTGCAAGACACATCATGTATTGTGTAAAGCTGAATAAGTCATTATATGTCTTAAGGTAGTCGGGACGGATGTGGTACAACCGACTCAGTGAGTTCCTTCTTCAGAAAGGTTACTCCAATAGTAGTGATTGCCCATGTGTCTTCATCAAGAAGTCCTCTATAGGATTTTGCATCATTTCTATGTACGTTGATGATCTCAACATCATTGACAACACACCAAATATTGATGAAGCACGTAAAGATGAAATTTGAGATGAAGGATTTGGGTAAAACCAAATTTTTCTTAGGTACTCAACTTGAGCACCTTCCCTCGGGTATCATGGTAGACCAAGCTGCCTATATCCAGAAAATATTGAAGAAATTTAATGTGGACAAATCATATCCATCTAAAACTCCCATGGTGGTTCGTTCTCTAGACGTAGAGAGGATGATGGAGAAGAGGTGTTGGGACCCGAAGTTCCATACCTCAGTGCCGTTGGAGCGCTTATGTATCTTGCAAATTGCACGAGACCCGACCTCACATTTCAAGTGAATCTATTTGCTAGACACAGCTTAGCTCCCACCAAACACCGTTAGTCTGGAGTGAAGAATATCTTTCGATATTTCCAAGGCACAAAGGATCTTGGCCTATTTTCCGGTTTCAGAGAAATCCGGACTCTGGTATGATTGGATACGCAGATGTTGGCTATTTATCTGATCCCCATAATACCAGATCACAGACCGATTTTGTGTTCCTACATGGTGATACTGCTATATCATGAAAGTTTTCGAAATAAACTCTTGTGGCAACATCTACCAATCAATCTAAAATAATTTCATTATTTGACGTATCATATGAATGTGTATGGCTTCGCAGAATGATAAATCACAAACAACAGTCATGTGGAATTGATCAGATAGAATCACCTACCATTATCTATGAAGGTAATGCGGCATGTGTTGCACAGATGCAGGATACATCAAGCGTAATATCACTAAGCATATTTCTTAGTGTTTTTTCCCGTGATCTTCAAAAAAGCGGGAAAATAAACATCTTGCAAGTCAAATCATGCGAAAATCTTGCTAATTTATTTATCAAGTCTCTACCAAATTCTACATTAAAAAATATGTTCATGAAATTGGTATGCGACGACTTCGAAACTTACGGGTGTGAGGGGGGAAGTCTCTTTTTGAGATATCCTTACACATTAAGCTATTTCTTTTTGTAAGTTTATGTTTCAGGTTCTCATCAAAGATTTTATGAAAAACTTTTGGAGGAGAATCCGTTTAAGATGATAGGGCTACATGAACGATCGTATGATGATTCTACATGGTCAACCGCAGATTAAAGGGTATGTTATGATTAATTACAAGCATGTAATTAGGGGAAAATCTTGTCTTCCCCAAACGGCGTGTGGTTACACCCGGCAACAGACGCCTCACTCTCATGTCTGATCTCTCTCCGGAACCGTAGATACCGGATTGTATGCTCTTTTATATTTAAGTAAAAGAAATTGATCAATCGGATCTGGGGTGCTGGACGGAACGCTCGACGGCTGCAACCTGCAAGTCTCTTCTGCTAGCTCTTCCTCGCGGGACTGCGCCACCAGCACCAAGCTCACTCTACTGTCAACGAAGAGAAAAGGGTCACGCCTCAGTGCCTCACGCGTCACGCTCCCCCGCTGCCCCGCCTCTGCTCCGCCGTGCCGCCGCGCCGCCCTAGCATCTTGCTGCGTCGCCGTCGCCCCCCGCCTCCGCGACGGCCCTGCTGGTCCAGCTCGTCGCTCGCCGGCGCGTTCCCCACCGGCTTGTCGCGTGGGCCCGCGCGGCTGCGCTGCTGCTGCTCGCAGTTCCGGCTGCTCCAGACAGCATCAGGAGCAAGGTGATTTCCTATGCTTGAATACCAGATCAAGGGATTTCATCTCCATTCCCCATCGAGACTAAGAGTTCAAATTCAATCTTACCTTATAAGTCTGCAATTAACCCAGATTCTGTTTTATAATTCGTCACGGGTACATTTTGCTTGCTCCAATCCTGGCTCCGCCGCTGTCCACACGATCTGCTGTGCCGACGGCGACGGGGCAAAAGAAGCCACGGCGAGCAGATTGTTTTCTCTCTGTTTGTTGGTGAAGAACCCTGGCTTGTTTGGGGATTATTTCTGTTGCTGTGGCTGAGGAAATCAGCTCACAAAGACTACGAACTAGAGCAAGCAAATAACAGTTAAATAAAAGACATGAAGTTCATCTACGCGATCGTTGACCAAGAAGAAATGAATGCACACGAGTTTGATTTGAGTTGGCCCCCATTGGATTTTTTGCACGGGTGGTATTAGAGATTAACTTTTGAAAGATATTTGTGGTTTTAACTGAATTCCCCGTCCCATCATTTAGTCGCTGCCTGTCGATGCTCCTGATCTTGTGGGTGTTAGTGATTCATTGATTCCCCTACATAGTACGGCTACACGATAATACCAGTTGCTACTTGCTCCAATTTCCAATTTGACCTTGGCTGGTTGCCTTCTGAATTACTGAATTATAGTTCGGCCACAATTTGACATTTCCGTTGATCTTTTGTTGTAAGAAATGCAGACCCCTTGCCTGGGGGAGGATAAGTTTTTTGCAAAATCAAGTACTCCCTCCGTCCCAAAATAAGTGTCGCCGATTTAGTACCACTTTACTTGATTAATATATTTGGTACCTCTTTTAAGCTGCAGAAACTGATCGGGTATTTTGTTTTTGTGATGGATACCCTCTTATTTTGTAATCTGGATGAAATTGTAGGTGACTCATTCCTGGGCAGGTGCTGCTTGTTGCATAATATGTTACACTCTTTATTTTTTTTACCTCATAATATGTTACACTCTTGCTTTCACTACGTTCTTCTCTCTCTATCATATACAGCATGCTGTTTCGTAAGGTAATATGTTGCACATATTATTATACCAAAGTCTTGATATACACCTTTTGTAATTGCATGTATTTCACTTTTTTCGCGAGATGTATTTCACATTTCAACAATGTACAATATATGGAAATATAAATGCTCAATTGCTGTTTCTTTTGCCTTATTGCAGTAAATGAGATTATGAGTTCCATTGAAAGGTAGTTCATGAACACAGTGCTAACCATGTCTGGTATCGATGGTGAGGAACCGCATTCAGAGGTTCATCAGTTTATGAACAGAGCAGTAGCTATGTCAGATATGGATGTTCAGGAACCACTTTCAGAGGTTTCCATTGATCCATCACGGCCAGTGAATATAGTTGATGAGGACGATGATTGGGTTATAGTCAAGAAACAGCGGATCACCATATTGATCCCTCCACTATCACCTGCGGCTGCAAGCCCTCAAGCTGGCACACCCATAGTAAGTTCTAGACAGGTTAGCCTACCAAGAATGAGCAGGAGAAACTGCAATGCTGCCACAAAGAAGCATCCAAAATATTTTTCTACGAAGAAATCTTTGGAGGGCCTTGGCGTCGACGCCTGCATCAAGAAATCTCGAACCTGCCCTTCTGAAAGAATTGTTCATGAAGATGATGCAAAGATGAGGGGAGAATCGTCACGAAGTGCTGCTGCCCTTGTTGTAAAGTCTGAGTGGACTAAACATGCAGATCATGCTGTTGAAGGACTGTCCCATAAAGCCACTGAGAAAGCAACAAGTCCACTCGGCAACATGTATGATCCTGGGATGCCAATTATTTCTTCAAATGTCACAAATAAGGTACTGCGAGCACGACTTCTTCAGAGACGGGTTGCTCGGTTCGGTGGGCTGAGGAATTGGCTTTTGACTTGCGGTCTTGGATGGTTTGTCAAAAAATTGGACAGTGAAGGTATTGGGATGTATCAGATGGTCTCCCTTACAATGAACCAGCTGAAAGAGATGGGCCTTATTGCCGTAGGACCACGGAGAAAACTAATCCATGCTATTGACAGTGTCTGCAAGCCCGGTCAGTTTGAGATGTTTTCTTGATCTCAAGTGTGTTTCAGTTTGTTAGATGTTTTTATGGTAGCCAGTTGAGTGACTACAGCCGTATGCATATCTATGGAGTGGTTTGATGTTCTGTTGTAACTTAGAACAGAAAATGCAACTAATGCTATAAAAGCTTTAAGTAGAAAATTAGAAGACAACAGTCGGACCTGCTCTGTGAGATATCCATTGTAATAAGCCTTTAAAAGTGCAAACTGACTTGGGTTATATTATCTATATACATGACACTAATAATCTAACGATATTTAGATCATAGTGTACTCTCTGATCTAAGAATCAGTGGCTAAAGCGTAGGTGTATGCATGTGAGGCCTGCGCGCCAGAGTGACTGAGTGAGTGATGTGTGTGTGTTTAAAACGCAGGTAGAGCTGTACTCTGGTTATCGTTGATGAATGCAAACGTCTGTAGCTCGCCTACCTCGCTCATCTGTCCCTCAAGTCTCTCTGCTCTGCGAACTGTTAAAAAAAAGTCTATGCTCATCCCCAGTTCTCTCTGCTCTAATGGCCGTATGCATCGTTCTGATGTAGAGGCCAGGGGTTTTTCTTCTTTTCAAAAAAAATTAAAAAAAATCCCCAGTTCTGTCAAAATCCGCAAATCCTACCGAGAACCCTACATTGGGGCCTCACGATTGGGATCTAGAGCCTAGGTTGCATCCGCCTACGCACGTTGAACCCGGATCCGACCGTAAAATTCCACTGCGATGGGTGCAATCGGTAATATTTCGTGCAAAATCACTAGCTAGGTTGGCTGCATGGGACCGTCTAAGGCCTCCGCGCATACCCAATTGGTAATCACCGCAATAGGGCACGGCAATGAATGCGGCGGCCGACCCGTCCACGGCGACCGGCGTCACCATGGAGACCGGCATGCCGTCCGCGACCCGGCCATCACAAGTGACAAGTCGAGGTACCCCGCCTCGCCAACAACAAGTCTTCGTTGCCGGAGACACCGGAGGAACCACAGGCGGCCGTGGGCCGCGTCACAACATCGGGTTAACCGTTTGAACAGAGTGATCCGCGTGCAGAGGTGGCACACGACACGACACGAGCTTCCTCCTAGGGATCGACGCCGGGGAGTTGGTACCAGATCGCGACTGGGAGTGCGCCGTCAAGCCGGGCAAGCATGACTTTTCTCGCTTCTCCGGGCACCAACCCCTGTCTCTGGATCGACTTGGCCATCACCTACTTTGACATGTATCAGGAGGTACCTCTCTGTATCAGGCAAGCGCTCAAAAGTCGTCGTCATCGTGAGTGGCCTTGGGATGATTTCGCTCTGGAATTTGAGTTGGAATTTGGGCATGAAGAATACGGCAGTCATATGACAGGGCTGCTGCAGCCTGCAACTGCAACTGCAACTGAAGCAAATTGGCAGAGTTTCCTAATATCGTTTGGCTTTCGAAGCAGCGACGTATAATTTGATTGCCTTGGATACTTATCTCAACAGAAAATTCTTTGTGTCCAAATTTCTGTTCGTTCTAAAAGATTGCAGTCTCCAGCTAGTGTTACTCGAGGTGTGATTCTGGCAAGAGTTTGGGAATAAGAAGTGGAGCTTAATCGTCCTCGCCCAAGAGCTGTAGTGCAACATCGAGCAGGGTATCCACCTGTTGCTCCAAATCTGTAAACCCAGCTGCATGGGAAAACCCTGACGACTATGGCAGAAACTGGAACATCAATGCAAGAAACCAATGCAGCTATTGACCATTCAATTGGGTGAACATGGGAGAATTCTGACAGAGGAAGCAGTGCAAGCATTGGAACTGTTGTCTGAACCTGAAGTGGTCGAGTGATGTCAACTTTCCCTGAATGTTTGTTTCTGGAGTTAAAACAAGTGACACCGTTCGTCTCCTAGTTCTAGTTGGAAATCAACTTATGTTCACTCTAGTGGATTCTGGAAGCAATTATAGGCTATAGCTTTGTGGACGAAAACTTTGCTCCCCGCGCTGCTTTAAACTGTGTGTTGGCACTGACAGTCAAAGTTACAGTGGTTAATGGACAGCAGATGCAGTCTCAACAGTTAGTTCCAGCTCTGTCATGGTTGCACATTCCAAACTACTATGCGTGTACTACAGCTAGGAGCGTATGTTACAATCTCTGTAATTTCTGCACAATGGCACCCTAGTAACCTTGCAGGGGATTCATTCTCCAATGTCGGCGACTTTGCAATCCATTTATTTGTAACAGTTGGATAATGTGATCCAGGCAATGACGTATGGGCCATGGAGATTGTTGACTATACTCTAGATGCATCTGATATTCATACTTCAGAACGGGCATGTGAAGTAATTGTCCTGCTTGAGCAGTTCAGTGACATTTTCGACGCTTCCACTAAATTATCGTCCCGTCGTGTTTCTGATCACGCATTCACCATGGAGCCAGGACACGGACCACTGATGATCTGCAAGTGCACAGAGTACAATTGTATCTTTTTTCAAGTAAGGGTATCAATCCCACACGAAGCACATGAAATGTTATTTGCCTCTTGTAGAGGTTTACAGAGACGTACGTGCACGTTAATTACAGTCCAAAGCAAAGTCGAAATAGAGATCAGAAGTGTTGCAAATGATTGGCGACTGAAACTAATATGCAAGCGTGTAGCATCCTAAAATTCTAAATTTTGGAATGTTAATTATTTAAATAGGATCAATTAAAACTTGTGTGTGTTGTTTGAGACTAGGATTTGAAACTTTTGGAATTAAAATGAATATTCAAATGAGAGAGTAAAAGGACTTTCTCGAATGTTCATTTGTATCTTATTTTTAGTTTTGAGAATATTAAAAGTTATTTAAACTTAGATGCGAGAGAGGATGACATGAATTTCTCAAATAGAAAAAATGGAGAAGAATGAATATTATTTATTTGAATTTCAATATTTGAGACGATGCCAACTCAAAAATAAAATCACAAGAGAGAAGGTAATGTGACTCCTTCAATATAGATGGGTTGGGAAATGTTTAAAATATATTGGATATTTTATTTGGAGTTCAAAAACTATTTTGGGAATTGTTTATAAGCCCTACATTTATTTTAGGAAGCATTTCTAAAGCCCATAATAAAGTTTATAAAATTATTTATGTATTGTTTCATAAATATTTAGGATAGAATTTTTTTAGCTCTAGAATAGTATTTTGGAATTATAAGAATTTTATTATAATTTTCCAAATTTAAATGGTTTGCTTTTAGATGAAACCATTGTCAAAAGTAGAAAAATATTAAACAGTATAATTCCTAAGCCTATTCTACCGAGCTAGCCAGCGGCCCAGTTCCTAACCAGCGCTCTTGGCACCTCACCCCAACCGATGTATTATATTCTACTGGCCGCACCTCACCCCAACCGATGTATTATTCTACTGTCCAACACACATCTCCCGCACATCTTATTCTGCTCAAGAACACCTCAAACGAGCGCAAGGACCTTCGCCGGAGGCTCGTCGGTGCCATTGATGCTCCAGCCACTTGTCACCACCGCAGGAGGATGCTCCTGTCGCCGAGAAGCGCACACATATACTCTGCATTCAAATATGCACCTCGTGGCTTTCAAAAAAAAAAAGCACCTCGTAGTGGTCTCTTCTGATCCCGGGGAGTTCCGGTCCGTTGCCATCATCAATGCTAGAAGCCACCGCCATCGTTTTTCTCCATTGCCAGTGAGCACGTCGCCGCCCCATAACCCTAGATGACGTGGAGCCCTCACAGCCATCCATCGTCACTTGATCCAACGGCTAGAACCCGCGATCCGCGTGAACCATTTTCGACGAATTAGTATGCACCAGTGACATTCCCAGAGCAGCCGCAACATCAGTTACAAATCGCTGCCACGACAGACTTTTTAACACCATTTGTCCAAATAGTGTTTAGGTTATTACTCTTGATCTACTCATCCAAATACAATTTCACTTTTTTCTTATGTGTCCATTTTTTTTTTGAAACTAAGGCAAAAGGCTTGCCATTTTCATTGAATAAGAAGAAGGTTTAAGAGTCTTGGCCAAAAGACCAGATTACAAGCATCACTCTCGCGGCATTATATTACACAAATATTTCGCCCCGGCAAGGCACCACAGCGAAGCTTCCGCTTTGACGCGAGCCACAAGCACCCCGACCGGAATTGCCGTGCTGCGGAACACACGTGCATTTCGCTCTTTCCAAATTTCCCAAGAGATAAGAAGCATAAGGGAAAGAAGTGCCCTTCGAGATTGTGACCTCCCGGAAGCTATGTTGCGCCACCACTCCTTGACTGAAACCATGCCTCCCCAATCCGTAGGATGGACATCATGTAAACCGAGCCATGCTTTGATCATTCCCCAAACTCTAACCGTGTAACGACATTGGAAGAGAAGGTGAGCTGCTGATTCTGGCGTTTGTTTGCATAGCGGGCAAAGGTTACAGTTGGGCCAGCCCCTACGCTGAAGCCGGTCTGCCGTCCAAATCCTATTGTTGATGGCCAACCAAGCAAAAAATTTGCATTTGGGAGGAGCCCAGTTCTTCCAGACCAAAAGAGGCATATCTGAGTCGATAGGGCCAAGAAATTATGCACGGTATGCCGTCGCCGCTGAATATTGGTCATCATTGGTGAGCTTCCAGGAAATTGAATCAGCCACGCCGGGGTTGAGGTGAATGTGTGATAGCTCACTCCAAAGGTTGACGAACTCGACTATGTGGTTTACATCAAGGTTCCCACCAATGTCCACTCTGGAGACCCATGTGTTATTATGTAAGGCCTTCTGGACAATGCAGTTTTTCTTGCAGAGATCGCAAAAATATTTGGCACGATGTCTTTGGGTCTCATACCATTCAGCCAAGCAGACTCCCAAAACGAAGCCCTTATCCCATCTCCAATCAGAACCTTGGTGGCAGCAACAAATATGTCTTTATCTTTGTCATCACACAGGGTCCCCAAGTTTACCCAAGGCTTACTTGGATCCGTCCAAGCTCCCCACAACCACCAGATGCGAAGGGCAGTAGCAAATTTTTCCAAGTTGAGAATACCTAGGCCACCATGCATTTTAGATTTGCACACTTGCTCCCAGTTGATTTTGCATTTTCCACCAGAAACCTTGTCACAACCAGCCCAGAGATATGCACACCGCAGGGAGTCGATCTTTTTCATGACCTCCACAGGGAGGTTTAGCACCGTCAAGTAATATATAGCAATCGCTGTTACAACCGACTTGACAAGCACAACCCTTCCAGGCGATGCGACGTGTTTTCCCATCCAAGGCGTAAGTTGAGCTGCAATCTTATCCTCGAGGGGTTGGAAGTGGATTCTATTTAATCTTTTGATCGACAACGGCAGACCCAGGTATTTCATAGGGAAAGATGATCGGTTGGCCGGGAAGAAGAGGAGGATATCATTCAGATCCAAGTTGTCACATC